TCACCTGTTCATGCGTCTGATGACCATAGCGTGTCATTGTTTACAAACAAGCGTCTACCTATGAGCCTTTGCGTTTTAGCGTGTATTGCTATCGTCGCTTGAGACTCAATTCCCGCGCGTGCGCAGATGCCGACCCTCCCGCTTTAAAGCGACACAGTCATCGCGTACACAACGCTTGTAAATAACGTTGTTTATTTCGTACAATACTTTCCTCGCCATCCCCGTTCAATATCAATAGTGTTCCATCCTATATACCTTCGTGTTAAATTTTCGGAAGCATAAATAAAAGTTTTGCTCATCTGTCAGTGTCATCGACACCCAAGAACTAGTCGCTGGTGATTGTCTGATTCCCGTCTCATTGTTTAGCGTCACGGTCGTCACGCAGCGCGCGATACAATTGCGTGCAAATAGACTATTCCGCGCTCTGTATGTGACTCACTTAGCAAACACGGTGGGGGTTTGATGGTAATTGGGAAGCTTTAAGATAGAGGCCTACTCATGAATGAAAATACCTACAATTTTTTCAATATTGCAATAAAGTGTACTCTCGGTCTATATGAGGATATTGACCTAAACAAGTCACCCGTCTATTTTTCGAGAGGTTGTAGTTCTGTGAATAACCACTATTGGTTAACATAGTCTGTATATGATATATCTCGAATTTCCACATACTAGGGTGAAATAATTATATCGTGATTGAAGTAGTACTTTGTGTTGGTTTAGATTGTTTCAAAATCGCTATAATATATTATATTCTATGGAATTATTCTGACCATTTTTTCTTTTTACAAAATACGATATTGTAACACGCAATAGAATGCTATTTTATGTTATCATGCAACTATATGTACATGATGGTATATAATAAACTAATAAACATTGTCACACGGAAACGTGTAAACACGGATGTAAATTATGAATATATTTCTTGCTTAATATTATTACCCTTGATTATTATATTTGCATAAAATATGCTACACGTTGTGAGAATATATTCACGAGTACTCAATAAATTTACGAGTTGCTGATCCTTTTTATATTCAAATAACTAGTTTTGAATAATTATATTCAAATCGCCGCCTATAATAACGTGAACAAGGGCAACACAACGTACGCTCAGATTTCTTGTAAGAGTTCGGCGTCCCATACAGTGTATGATTATTTTCGTGACTTCAAATTACAAGTGACATTAAGACGAAAAATTACTCAGGCTGCCAAAACGTTTTTTCTCATAAATTACGATTTACGAGTAAAAAGACAAATTGTATTTACGCAAAAAAAATCATATTGTGAACTGTAAATGTGTTTTTATGATAAACGAAGTAGGTAACTGTTTCATCAAATAACTGAAACAGTACGTACAAATAAAAATAAAACGTATGAAGTCGCCGGCTGTCAGATCAAACGCGTAACTGAATCAGCACTATGCGTCTAATCGGATTATTTTCGTAGTCTTACTATATAACACATTTATTAGTGAAATTATTTGTATTCTGAGTGGCGTCAGTAGTGGCCATTAAATTACCATTAGAATACATTATCTGTTCAACGAGTCTAATGGTTACGATGATTTTGCAGTGAATGTAAAATACTCCTTATCATATCTAGGCCGCATGCGCAGATTATTTTTACAATATCATGCCAGGCATTCAAGTTCGCGTAATTCCTTATAATAATCATATTTTACATTCACATAGATTTATTGCGTTTTTGTTATTCAAGATTCAATTCTGTTTTTTTCCTTCGTCGCGGTTTGAAGCTGAGGCGCGAATCCCTCGCGTGTTAATGACACAAACTAACGACACTACAGAGACCCTATGTGAATGCTATAAATACCAGTCACACTATAAATGTGCGTTATAGGAACATTTCAAACTAAAGGTGGCGTTGGAAAACGACTGCTACAATTCATCGGTTTTGCCTCGTTGCATGTCGGGAATGGCCGGGGCATAACTTTGGACTTCAGTGTTGGTACCAGCATAGATTACAGTCATCCGACATGTGTGCGTGTTCTTATCGTTTTAGATCCCCTTGGCCCATTCGCCAATATTCTAATATTTTGAATTGATGAAAAATATCATGCTGGTGCCAAATAATAAAAAAAAGATTAGTCGATTATAGCGTTACACTTCACTTTTGAGGGTAGCCATATCTCATACAGAGTACTCGCAAGGGTAATCCGCACTAGTCATCCCGCGGTTAACCCCGACCGATTGCTACAGTGAAACAGTGATTCTTACAATGCACTAAACAACAGCGTAAAGTACCCACCGCTTTCCTTCTTCCGTGTTTATATTTAGTCATATTTGAAATACTTCACTTCACGCTCACCCGGTCAAGAGGAGATCGCGCCGACATACTGACACGCAGCTTTGAGTCACCGATCTATGACTCAAAGTAGAATTACGGGACAAGTCTAAAAATAACCCTACCGATTATTGTGGCCATGTATCCATGGATGTGTCTGTCGTTCAATCAGTTTATTTAAACTAGTTTACTTATATTAGTCTCTCGTGTTCATTGGGTATCCTGATCGTCTAGCTTCGCCAAAGATGAACAATAAAATCGGTGAAATACCGACGTTTGCAAATTTGAAGTGGATACAAAAAATGCCAAATGCAGTCGCCTGGCAACAATATCATACGAGCCACGTTCAAGTCACCATGGATACCACAATTAATGAAATAACGTTAAAAGGGAACATTTCTCATCCCTCGCGAAATGTAACTAATAGAATATGTGTGGAAAGGCCGGCGCGGTTGGGAAAATGTACTAGTAAGTGTCAACTGATTAATTTATGAAGAAAAATACATGTCTTGTGTGAAATCAAATGAGAAGATTAGAACAACTTAGTGATTAGAATATTTGTTGGCATAAAACATGCAGTGACGAACCATTTCATCTGAGAATGAGGTGTGTTTTGTATGCGTCTAAAAAACCCTCCAACTTTTCATACCATATCGTGCTTTATTTTGTGTTCTTTTTGACTTACAGTTTTAGTGAAAACAACCGAACTTAGGCGTCCACAAAACCTAGTACAGACGTGTTCGAAAGTGTATCCTTAGTTGGAGAATATACTAGTACGTCATACGGACGTCACATTCAAACACTTCCATTTGTTTACATAGATGCAGTAACAAGGTAGCATGACGGTAATAAAATCCCTCACGACATTTACAGTTGCGTAAACAAACGCCAATTTGTCTTGCTAGTCATAAATCTCAGTTGAGACGAATCAAATATACAAGACACGATTTGATACGCCGAAAAAAAACTGCCGATAAACAAACTATTTTCTGATAGGTCGGTTGGGTAGCCAAACAGGTAAAATCGTGTAGATTGTTTTGCATTGACTCGTAAATCCTTACTACAAACAGGAACATGTGTATTATATTAACACAGTCTCTCTATAGAGACAGCGCGGTACTGTGCGGTCACGAGAATACCGAGTACTGTCCAACGCGTACTCATATACATACTGTAAAGGTACAATTCGTCTTGTTTAGTTGTTTTCCCCAAAGAACAATAACTAAATAACTAACTAACTAACTAACTAACCAAGCAAAAGAACCGCTACACATCGTTTGCTCTGTCACATAATTGCAACTATGAAAGTGTCAACTCACGTAACACGATATAAAAGGGTTAAACGATCGGGTACAAACAAATGTATTACAGTGTTTTAAATCCAAAATTAGGTATCGGGTAACTAATGAATACAACTATCACCTGCTCACAAAGTCTCTAGATGTATTTGAAACACAGTGGTGTATTAATGACGCCATTGCAATCCTGGATGACAACTCTCTGATAATCCCCGATATCTTAGACAATGGCTGAATAATATCCTTTTTAATTGTACAAACCCGCCTTTTCAATTGCTTTTTATTAGATTTATTGTACTTTTAAGTATTTTTAGAATTGTAATTATTTGAGTGTACAACCGTTTGTTATTTTTATTGTTCAATGTCGTACATGTCTTTTACTCACCTCTCGTCACTTGTTTACCTGTTTGTAACCTCCACTAATCACTTGTAATCGTTTAATCGTTTTTATTTTGAACCGAGAAATGTGTCAAACGGATGACTGTTATCCCGATGGCACAGGGCAGGGGGGGTTTGATTCCCCCATTGTCCGTGCCACTTGGTGTTGGCCTGCCCGCGGGGTTTTCTTGGTTTTATTTCTCACTGTCCAGTCGTTATTGATTTATTATTTACCCGTAGAATCAAAAAGGAACTAACTAACTAACTAACTAACTAACTAACTAACTAACTAACTGACTGACTGACTAACTAACTAACTAACTAAATAAATAAATAAATAAATAAATAAATAAATAAATAAATAAATAAATAAATAAATAAATAAATAAATAAATAAATAAATAAATAAATAAATAAATAAATAAATAAATAAATAAATAAATAAATAAATAAATAAATAAATATATAAATACAAACTTGTAGTGAAATCAAGATTTCACCAATTCCCGATGTTATTACAAAAACACTTGACTGAAGTCGATAACTCATTACTATTTCTTGACTATGACTCAGTTTTTAAAAATTGCCCGTTTCATACGTCACGGTGGATCTAGATGTTCTCTATCGCCAGTGTTCTCAGGATGTTTTCAAAATACCTGACGTCACTTCTTTAAATTATACCATTGGGCCTGTGTATCTTAATTGGATTTCGGGGATTGTGTTATGATAATTACTTCTACGGAAGTGCGTATCAGCATGAATCGGCGATTATTCTTACGTCATAATAACGATGATTAATTTGTCACATTATAATCATGATGCAATCACGAAGAAGATGACGCTTCACGTCACGTCATTATTTCATACGTTTGATTCGTTTACTTTTTTTTGAAGAAAATCAGCATTATCACGACTGGCAAATAACAAGCAAACAAAAGGATGTACTGTTTTTGTCACGAATTAGTCACGCGAACTTTGATCACGTGATTTGATTTTGTCAGTTTCCTGTTCACTATTCTCTGGGCACCAGCTCGCTCGTTTCAAACTCACACGATACTTGCCAGGTTAGTAACTTTTTTCTGTTTCTTTGCCTATGTTTATTACAGTAATCGATGTCTAAACACGTGGTCATTCAGTACCGCTCCCGGTTGGACTGGGGACGTCCTGTCGATTTCTCTGCAACACCGTGAAAGCACGTTCCATTAGATGTGTTAACAACTGTATTGATCGCCTGCAAAAATTGTATTAGTCATCGCTACAAACATCGCTTTGTGTTGATAGTCAATTCATGTGAAGTAAAATTAAATAGTCGTTAAATAATTGTGTACATTCACACGGCGTGATGATGTCATCTCCCGTGTTTTCACAGTAAATAAACTCAAATACTAAGTATGTACATACGTTACGAAACAAATCTGAACTGCATTTAACCACAGTCCCTCTAGAGAATAGAGGGACTGTGATTTAACTGATATTGTTTTCCGGGTTGTTGTTTTTTTTGTGAGGAGAGGCGCTAATTCAACTTAAACATTTACTAATGGGTTCATAATATCCACACACTGCACCAGTTATGTTGTATACATTAATACGTGATGATGTCATCCCCTCGTCTTCTCACAGAAAATATGCCTAAATATGCCTATTGTACATTACGTTAGCGTAAAATCTGAACTGTATCTTCCGAGTTGATTTTGTTCGTGAAGGGAGAGGGGGAATAGCATTCAACATTTTAGTAAAGTGTCACAACACTGTAAACAAGTGTTAGTACCATGGACACTTGAGATTGGTATAGCTCACATACAATCTCGGTCATTCTAGCGAATTACAGATTTGGGCGTTGCATGAAGGCAGGCGTATGCTACAAACTTGAATGAATCAGCAGACTCGAACATATTAGTGACACGTTCATAGGACTATACTCAAGTACTTTTCGCTCAACATACTACATGTTATGTTTTCGCGCTTTATTTTTGTCGGTCACATAATTTGTTATTTATTTCACAAACAGGTTCAGTCATGGCAATTAAAGACGAATATAAATACGATGAAAGCGCTTAACGGATGCTCATGCAGCAATACTTATAAAACAAACACGATACAAGTCTAACAATTAGAGCATCACGCCCCAAAATGTACAAACTTTCCCATCATAGATAACATCAAATTTATCGAGGGTTTCGTTATTTAACGATTGTTTTATTGAGGGAAGCAGAGCGTAATTAGAGTGTTGTCACATGAGGTATACTCGTGATTCGTTGAAAAGTTTAGGCAACATCATTGAATACATTAACGGTGTAAATAATCAACTGCCAGAGCCATACTGAGAAGTATAAATATATTTAATAAATATAAATGTGGCTAACACGTTATCTCGATAATTAGAGTCTATTCTTACAACTAATAAAAAAATAATCGATCCATCGGGTCAAATGTCTAAGTGTATATTGACCAATTGACAACGCGTAATCGACATAAACGCGACATTACATAATAAAAAAACAGCGAGAAAGACGTATCGATTGACACCGACCTTGAGATCCACTGACATGAATTGATGTCAGATGTTTCGATAAGAACACCTTCGGCTCCATATGTGGCATCCGCCATCAGAAGTCAGTTCTAGGTAGTTCAGTTGGTGAGTGGCATTGGCGACTTCTGTAAAACCAATTACTATATTCGTCTGAATACCCATGACATATTCCAAGGAGGCAAGTTTTTCGCTGAAACAGCCTCGTGTTACAGTTTGAAAGCGTCATTTCTCTTTTAAGCGTCATCTATTTAAATAGTTTCAACAATATTGTGGGTACTGTGAACTTTCGAGGAAATCCGAAGCGGAAATTCACCAGAACAAACTATTTACAAACCCACACCATCGCCTTCCCCATTTAGTTAAAATGTCAGACGTCTATCGTAAGTAGCCTACGCATGCCATATTTGTCAACAAGTAATTCCTGATTATATACTTTGCAGACATATGCACGCATTGTTAGTTATTTATTTCCATACCTGGTCAATGCATTGTTATAGCTTCGTTCTATGCGTTCATGTGCTATGACAATAACATGTTTTGAAATTAATTCCATGCGAATTTATTTTCTACGACATTCGACATAGTTAATCCGACAATCAATTATTTTAAATCGAAACCCCCATCACTTTACTGCATATGGACTAAATCCATATTTTATATATGTTGTGGGCGTGGAGCAAAAAACAAAACAAAACATGTGTGGAGCTTTTCAAGGTTTGTAATCATGCACGACACTATATGCTGTATGTTTCGGCGTTTACCCACTGGTTACATTGTCACACGAACCGGGGTGGGCGATTCATGTTGGTTCGACAAACACGTGGATAATAGCTAATATTAGACTCAATAAATATTACATTCAGTTATACATGTAACATCCAATCTAACTTTAACGATTGTTATAAAATGTTATAAAAAAAAAACTATTTATCATATTTCGCACAATAAACATGGACGGAGAGATGGCTTATGTCGTCAATAACGACTAAACTAATTTATCCGAAAATAATTTATATCTTCAGGGCCACTGTGTCATAATGACCTGCCTTATGCGAGTTGTTGTTGACAGTGTTGACAAAACCATTTTCGACTACTATAGAAAAAATATCATTTTACGACCTAACTTGTAAATGGCGGTTTGCCCATATTCAAATATAAAATGTTCGCCATTTGCGAACGTTGAACCCATACAATAATACGATTACAACAATACTATATATAGTGTCACGACTCGTGTAAACAATTTATTCCTGCTGACTATTTGTCACTTGAAACCTAATCACAATTAAATCTGACATCCGTCGGCAAGAAATTTGTTTTTCTAAGTGTTACGGTTCGTCTGACCTCATTGTCACGATAAAGACGTTGAACTATGCAACAATTGAGACGGGATATTGTCTCCGATGACCTAGAAACCAAAAATCCGTTGAATAAAAGCAACAACACTACAAAAAAGCCACAAATATTTGTTTTATATGGTTATAACAAAATGGTGAAACAGACAGCGTTGCGGCGGAAACAACGCTTTTTTCGTTGATTTTATTTGTTACACTGTATTGTGTAGATCATTAAATTAATTCAGAGACACGTACAGGAAAAACAGCCGTCAGTTGACGACTGGATTGAATGTAATGTAACAAGATGTGTTTTGTTTCACCGAGGCTTGTAATGAAAATGTATAATAACTTGATATAGTTCATTTCTATCGGTCAATAAAATAATAATATCATTGTTGTATGTGTTTCACTTTGTCGTGACAATACAATGCGATGACCATTGAGATAACGTGCGCGATGAGGAGGAAGAGGGGGGGGGGACAAACAATATATCAGAGACCGTTTATTAATATACACAAACGGTTTGCAGTTTAGAATGGTATGTTGTGGCAGTTGACTACTCTAACAAAAGCATGTTATGTTAACATTATCATAACCGTAACTATATAATACACACTGTAACCCGGACATTTTGCAAGGAATTGTGTTTAAAGACTGGCTTGTCGGTATATTCGGTGAAACGGGGAACTTACTTTGAAGTCTGTGGGTCAGCAAGCATTCACACGTAATTCGTGTAGCTGCTATTGGGACATTTACATTGAAATATTAGTATACATTATCCTAAATGTTAATGACATAGAGAAAGGTGTAACAATTGATTTGATTTGCTTTACAGTCGCTGTAGTGAACACGTTTTCAAAATCATTCACAATAAAATATAATTATGCAAATGATATGATCAAATTGATGTACAAAACGTATGAAAGGGCCTCTGCCTAAACGTTGGCTAATTAATCATGTTTTCATGATACGTGCTGCATATATATATCATTGTTACATCCTGTCATTATGTTCAACAGTACTCACCCACGCGCAGCGCAATGAACAATTATTGACTATGCTCTGTATTAATATCTATCTCGTATATTCCACCCACCACGATGATGCCCTAGCGATCACAGAGTTCACCACTGTCAGCGATGCATCAAATGCTGAACAAATTTCACCAAAAGAAAATACCCAAGAAAACATCCTTATTGTGTGTTTTTTTTAATTAGAAATAAAACTGGTCGATTGATAGAAATACAGGAAATCTTTCCATTAGAACCAAAGTTATCAATAATCAATAATGTTTTTTCAAAGTCGAAACTGTGTCAATTTGATATGATACTGTTTTATAATTGAAAATAAAGGCACATTATTAACGATATTACGCCTACGTAAAGCATGGATCATCTAACAGTATTGGAGCCGTTAAAATTGGTTATATCTACTGAAATTAATTTGTGCCCATTATGTATGAACACTTTCCCGGTCAGGTCATACATGACTTTACAACACGAGCGTATGTATTCAGTTATTATAGATCGGATTATTTTATTCTGATCTACCCATGCGTGTATTTATGTCAAAGCATGATGTACGTATCCGAAGTGGGAGAATGCTCTTTGACTCGAGAAGTATTAATCTAAAAGAAAGAGGTCATCCACGATTTGAATGTCAAAGGATGTGTATTTGTACTGTGACGTCATGCTTTTTGTCGTGGATTTATATAAACTAAGTTTTACTAAGTTGTAGTAGCTGGATGAGCAAAATATGTCTGATGAAAGTGGTTGTATCTACAGAGTGTATTTATTTAACGTTGCATGTGATGTGTTTATTATCATTTACTACCTTATACTAAAATATGTTTGGGTAGAGTAGTAACAAATTCTCACTTCCGGTCCGGTTAGACTTAAAATATATCAGGAAAATTTACTTTTGAGATATAATTGTTGGTATGTGTTGGTTCTTGGATATTTCAGCTTTGTCGTTCTGTACTTCGTTTAGTAATTCGGACTTCTCAAATTGCGTAAAAAGCGGATAGTTTCGTAATTTTGACTAGGAAAATGTATAGGCTAAATCATTTGCTAAGGGACGGCCGCTTAGGTATGCTCACTCTAACTTGCAACACATAAACCTAAAAGCGTTAGGCAACCAAACCAAAAATTACAAAAGTACATAAAAGTACGTTCAGGGTCTTCACTTTTTCATAGCA